GGAAAAAGGACATGCTAAAACTGCTATTTCTTGCAACTTGAAAAAGCTTTATCTTTTTTTGGCCGAGTTCGGCAAAGGGGGCACTAACGTTATCTTACAGTCCAATGGCCCTAGTTTACGGACCAATAGACCGTTCGTGCTCGTACGTGCTCGTTTTTTCTAAAAAAAAATTTCAAATTAGCCCAAATTTTTCCCCTTTTCTATGTGGATATTACATATTTTTCTGTTACTTCAGAAATAAACCTCGTATTGTCGTAACACTCGGGGTCTAAGGGTTTCGAAGCGTGCTGATTTCATTTCCGAGCAAATTTTTGACGTGCCAGGGGCGGAACCAGTTCAAAAAAGGGGGCTAAAATGACATTTTTGTCTGATTCGCATCAAATTTGGCAGAGAGAGGTTACAAGACATGCTGATTTCATTTCCGAGCAAATTTTTGACGTGCCAGGGGCGGAACCAGTTCAAAAAAGGGGGGTTAAATAAGGTTTTTGGCTAATTGGCGTCAAATTTGGCATGGAGAGGTTCCAAGACATGCTCATTTCATTTCCGAAGAAGTTTTTGACGCTACAGGGGTTGAACCAGGTCAAAAAACGGGGAACGTATAATTTTGGCTTATCAGCCAGAAATCTTACTTTCCCTCTTTTTTGACCTGGTTCCGCCCCTTTCCTTTGTTGTCAAAATCTTCTTCAGAATCAGAATAAGCATGTTTAAAAATCTCTTAAAGCGAAGTTGCGAGTAAATAACTCGTAAATTTAACTTTCTCCCCTTTTTTGTTCCTGGTTCCGCCCCTGTGGCGTTATTTTTTCTTTCAGAAATGAAATCAGCATGCCTGAAAACCTTGCTGACCAAAGTTTGAGTCAGATCCTTGTTATATTTCGCGCACAAATTAATTTTGGCCACTTTTTGGCGGTTTCGGCCCACTGTGGGGCAGAACGTCACGCCAGCCAGGATCCATAAAGCCGCATCATGGCGGGCGGGGGCGTCAGGCGGCGCTCCGTTGACGTCGGAAGTAATCGAGCGTGATGAGCCGAGCTGGGGCCATCAGGGGTGCAGGCGGCCCGGGCCCGACCGCCCGGCGCGGTAGGCAACCGGCGGCAGGCGCGCGGCTGCGGCGCTGGCCGGGCGGCCTACCTCGTCCACCACCCTCGCCTCGCACGTATCGACCACGCGTGTAGATGGCGGCGATACCGCTGCGCTGCCGATGCCGATGATAGCCCACGGCATGGCGCGTGTGTACGTGTGTGGTATTTTTGCTCGCTTTTCTTGTTGACGTTCTGATCGAATGCCGCGGTCGGCTTGTTTTTTTCCCTCCCGGCCGGCCCGGCCCCCGTGAGGCCGTGTGACGGCCGATCATTGATCATTATGGTGATGTTATGTGTGCAAACGACATTGTGTTTCTGACGGGCGGTTTTTCCCCCTCTTGTGTGTTGCAGCAACTCAAAGATGAGCTCGGTGAAGTCGTGGGGGAGATGGAGAACATGGACTCCGCAGACGAGAGGTGCGTATCCAGGGTCTGGCACCCTAATAGTTTTCTCACCATTTAAAAAAAAAAAAATACAATCCAAATGAGCTAGTGAGCATCTTCTTCAACAAGATCGCTAAGTTCCAATTAAATCAACATTAATAAATTTTCTGTTAATGTCATGGCAAAAAAGGAAAAAAAAAAGTTTGCCGATTGCGTCTGTCTTGTGCACACATGCTAGTCTGGTAAATGAGTCATTCTAAGTCGCGTTTTTCTCCCCCTCCATTTTCGCAGCAAGAACAACACGCGGGCCAAGCAGATGTCCATTGGCCGCAAGAAGTTCAACATGGACCCGAAGAAAGGCATCGAGTTCCTCATCGAGCATGGTCTCCTCAGCAACACGTGCGAGGATGTGGCCGCTTTCCTGTACAAGGGCGAGGGACTCAACAAGACGGCCATCGGCGACTACCTGGGCGAGCGCAATGACTTCAATGAACGTGTGCTAAGGGCCTTCGTCGACCTGCACGACTTCACGGACCTGATCCTGGTCCAGGCCCTCAGGTGAGTCACTGTTTCCAAACAACTCATTCATACAAATAGTATTGGCTCGTTTTTACTCACCGGCGCTGTTCTCATTTTGCAGACAATTTTTGTGGAGTTTTCGACTTCCCGGAGAGGCACAAAAGATTGATAGAATGATGGAATGTTTCGCTCAAAGATATTGCCAACTTAATCCAAATATCTTTACCAATACAGGTATGTGAATTCAATTTTTTCCTTCCATATAGCAAAGTCTCCTTCAAGGAACGGATCGTGTAAGCAGATGATACACATAACATGAAACTTGTGTCATGTTATAATTTGCACTGATGAATCAAGAAATAGTTAGTAAGGTCGACAGTAGAATGCCAAGTATTGGCCGGGGCAAGGGGGAGGGGGAGGGGTAAGGCTCGTTACTTGTGTTGAGCTGGCCGATGCCGATAATTATGCGATTAGAAATTTCCTTCATCCTGAAATGCCAGAAAGGCCCGCCGCTCGGGCGCGAGGCGGGAGAGCGGAGCCGAATCCACCTCCCTTCTCGAATCACCCCTCCTTCCTTCCCGCTCGAGGCCGAGCTGAGCGCACTGGGCTCAGGGCTTCGTACTCTATTCATCTGCCAGCTCTCGCTCCTCCGTCTGACCTAACAAGCTGCTGGCACATGCAACTCGATTAGTTTTGTTACTTTTAGTGTGAAGTGTGTGTTTTGTGTTAAATGTATCATCTGCTAAAAATTGGTGTTGTATTTTCTTCTTTTCTACTGCCTTGCAAGATAGCGCAAAGGGATGTAATACTAAGGCGTTTGCAATATTTCTTCAACTATACTCATCTTTTATTTTACCATGTTCCAGATACGTGCTATGTATTATCGTTTGCAATTATTATGTTGAATACAAGTTTACACAATCCAAGTGTTAAAGAAAAGCCTACTGTTGAACAATTTATATCAATGAACCGTGGCATTAACAATGGAGGAGATCTTCCAAGGGAACTATTAGTTGTGAGTTTACTTCTGTGAATTACGTCTTGAAGTTCCATTATAGTTAAACTAAATATGTTTTGTTCTGGTTTAGAAAAAGAAATGAAAAAAGTAATTTTCAATTTCAATGTTTACAGAGTTTATATGACAGTATAAAAACAGAGCCATTCAAGATTCCAGAAGATGATGGCAATGATCTCATGCATACCTTCTTCAATCCGGACAAAGAGGGTTGGCTATGGAAACAAGGTGCAAATTCTCCCAATTGCAGTCAGTTAGAGTAAATATCTAGTATTAATCAATAAAATATCTGACTTGTATGTCTTTACTTCCTTCAGGGGGACGATATAAAAGCTGGAAGAGGAGGTGGTTCATTTTAAATGACAATTGTCTGTATTACTTTGAGTACACAACTGACAAAGAACCAAGGGGAATCATTCCGCTGGAAAACATTAAAGTCAGAGAAGTTGCTGATCGGAACAAGCCTCATTGCTTTGAGCTTTATGCTTCAGGGTCAGACTTCATCAAAGCTTGTAAAACTGATAGTGAAGGAAAAGTTGTAGAGGGTACGTTTTCTCTCTGTGTTACTTTTTATCATGTTTGTGCCATATCTTGAGGAAGATTAAAATATTTTATGAAATCTGTTCCTTTTATACAGGTAAACACACAGTCTACAGAATGTCAGCTGCCACTCCGGAAGAGAAAGAGGAATGGATAAAATGTGTGAGGTATGTGTATAGGTTCAAGAGTGCACTATAAAGTTGTCTATGTAAATTAAAAGTTTAACTTTATTCTTTTTCTTTTTCAGACAAAGTATTAGTCATAACCCATTTTATGACATGCTATCAGCTCGTAAAAAGAAAGCTCAAAAGAACAATGTTCACCACCATCATCATGCAAGAACTTAGCTCTGTGATCCTCTTAGCTAATAAGTATTTCATAATAGTGATCCATCTCTTTTGTTAGTGTCAACTTGGTGATCTGTGCCAGAGGGTATCCATTTGTACTTTGACTTGGTTTGGTATTTAAACTTTTCATTTATAATGGGTACTGGTTATTTCCCTTGTGTTGTGATCTCAGATTTATGTTGTTGGTGTTTCCAGATTTGTTTCTTTCCTATCATATGACTTGTAAAATCATACCCTGTCAAAAATAATTATAAAGTACTGTGCCTTTTCCGATTGCACAATAGTTTTTGTTCTGAATATTCCTGTCTTCTGAGATGAAAGCAGAGTAAGTTTTGGTGTAGTTTGACACACACAACCGGTGTAAAGCCTCCCGTTACAATTATTTGTTAGAATTATTTTTTTTCAAGTAGGACTTTATCATTAAAACAAGACAAATAGTAGGTTAATATAGGTATACATTAACCAAATTAATCCATATGTTGGAAATATCGTTTTTGTTGTTTATCAATCTTTTTTTTTTTTTTTTTGTACCTATCTTTCCATGAATTTTATTCTACTTTTATGCATCCAGGGGCCATGTGTACTGCATGTCTGGTTCTTTGTCTTTTTAGGTAGGGTTATTTTCTTCCCGGTAATTATAATCACTCATTTGATTCTGTGATTCCTTTTTTCTATTTCCAAGAAAAGGAAAATTAATCGTGCCTTGTTTGCTCTGTGGGTCAGTGTTTCTGAAGTGTTCTGCTTGACCAGTTCTAATGTTTGGTTGAAGAGGACTTGTTGGGAACATGTCTAATTATGTAAACGTATATACATATATTGATTACAATTTTGTGGCTGTTGATGTCCTCATTAATGAACTTGTTGGGTTTTCTAATTATTTTATCTCTTTCATGATTTCATACATCTTTATTGTACGTTTTACCAATGGGCTCCCTCTGTTTGATTATTTTATCAAGTGGTTTTTCTGAACACATTGAAGATTGCCCATTGTTTAAAATGCACGTTGTGGTGTATTTTGGCTACCACTCTTTGTGTTACCAAACCTGTTACAACAATTTTTAGTTAGTTGAGCATCACCTTTTTCTTAATGATTGGATGGAGTTGTGTAGTCTGACTGATATTCTAACATTTTGGGGGACTTAGGTTAATTTAAAGTTTATTGGAATTTAATGTCAGGTACATATGGATTGATCCTTTTGTGGGTTCTAGATCTGGAAAAGATCCTTTTGTGGATTCTAGGTCTGGAAAAGAGTTGCTGTATTAAAAGATTTTATCTATTGAACAAAGGGAGATCGAAGCTGGAATCAATGTCTATCTAGTTAATATTCATAATGTTTATTTATTTATCACATTTTTTGTGTGTATGTGTGTAGTTCTGTTAAATCCAAACTGTAAATATGTTGATAGTTTTAAAATTACTGTATGTATTCATGTATGTATGTAAGTATGTATGTATGTATGCTTGTATGTATTCTTACACAATAGTTGTATTGTAAATTTCCAACTGTATATTTTGTTGATTGTTCAATTGATTTTGGAGCTTGTACATAGACTTGTAAATTATTGATTTGTTTTGTATATGTACATAAGTTGTTGTTTTTGGCAGGGTACATTAGAACCTGGAAGTGAGTAATTTGGGGTGCATTCCTGAGCTCTATAGCATACACGCTTAAGTGGGAAAAAAAACAAACTGCGAAACTATTTTTATTTTTCTTTATTCTATTCTGATCAGTTTTGGGTTGGAATTTATGGTTGAAACTTTACATGATCCGACATGATCCCATTTTCTATTTCCTGTGAAAGTGACTTGTTATGCCATGCAATTTAACTCTGCAAACTTGTTACTTTAATGGGAAATGAAGCTCCAAACTACTTAATAACAAGAAAGTTCTGAAGGAATCCATTCAGCTTTGAATCTCGACATTTTATTTTCCCTAGAAATATTCTTGTCAGTTTTTTTTTGTGTGGTTCTGAAAATGTATAACTGTCAATGAAAACATTTTAGTTTACTATTGTACAAATTGAAGTGTATATATAAAAGCCCTT